ATCATCTCCACTTACGGCTGTCACATCACATAAGACAAAGAGCAGAGCGCTAAAAGAACAAATAATATATTCTGAAAATCTTCTTTCTTTTCCTCCGCACCCGAAAAAAAATAAAGAAATAAAGAAATCAATGCATCGGAATCGTTATAAGTTAGTTTTTGGCACACTGAAAGCTATATTTCTTGGTGGTTATGATTCTAAACTTTGGAACCAGAGAACTTAAGGAACCGGTATATTTGTAGGCTTTCATCTAGCTGGCATTTTATTTCCTTGACTTCCTGGGTATGACGATAAACTACGTCTGACAGCATGGCCTCTGATCAGGAGGTTTTGATAAGCGTATAACCAACTCTTGATTGCACGTGATCCCAGGTCAACACAGGCCCGGGGTGGTAGAACCTGTTAGGTCGCAACTATGGGCAAATAGTTAACCCCCAAACTGGGGTCAAAACACTATGAAAGTTCAAAAATAAGTTTTAATACCAGCAATAAATTTTTGAGAAAAAATGATTACCAGCAATACATTTTTGAAGGGAAACAATATGACCAGCAATTCATTTTTAAAGAAAAAGTATTACCAGCAATATATTTTTGGAAAAATATTACCAGCAGTAAAAAACTTGTCGGCATTAAATAACCCATCGATGTTTATATGCAGTAAAACAAACCAAACCAAAACAGAAATACCTCCCATAATTTAAACTGTCATTTGGGTGATGCTATTGAATATAGACAAGGATAAATTATATATTCATCTAGCTAATCTTTTACCGTTTTTTGCAAATACAATCACTTACCATTATGGCTTCACTGATTCTTACACCATGCGTTTGATGCTGAAATTCTTCTTTTTTTTAATACTGGTCAATCTGTAATTGAAATACAGAGAGTTTTTCGTGGTCATTTCATTTTACATCGGAATGATTCTGTTCCGAATAGAAAATCGATACTGCAACGGGTTGAAAATTTCAACCCACATGTTCAGCAGTTAAAAAAGTCATCTGGGAGACATTGAAGCACTCGAACCTTCCAGGTGATGGAAATTGTTAGAGATCGTCTACAACAGTGTATAGTGAATAGTGGCCACCATTTACAGGATGTCATTTTAAAAACCAAATGAATAGACTGTTGACGTTTGCTAAAACAACAATGAAATATATTTTTAAATAGCAGTTACCGAGCTATTTTTGTCTATCTTTAAAACATAGGAGCTATTTCTGCTGCATTTCTTTGTTGTCTTAGGTTTACTTAGAGAAATATGTACATCTTACATGTCAGCTAATTTCTAATATTATAATTTTTCGCATATATAATGTCACTAGATTTAATCTTCTTTTTTGTCTGATATATTCAATATGCAAATTCATTAGAATCTTACATAATAAATTTTAGAAATTTATCTCCACCAACATGAATATCTTGTAAAATCATTAACGCACAATCACCGAATGTAACTTCTTTTTTCAAAACAAAGTCGCTATTCCAAAAATAGTAACGAAATCACACAAAACTCTGATTAAATCATAGACATTCCTTCTACATCAACAATCTGATCTTTTATGTTGATTCAACCCAAAATAAAAAGAATTTATATTTACTAAACATTCACACCCAATTCTCCCAGAGTGAGGCCCTTTCATTGCATACCGGTTGGGTTGACCTCTGCGATTACCCTATATGTGGGCGACCCGGATGAGCTATTTCTAAATGTGGGATAATTGTTCGCGTTCACCCCGATAAACAAGCCAAAACAATGTTTTTTCTCTTTTATTTAAATTGTAAAATTTTTCTGTAAGTACCTCGAATATCATACGCACTTACGAAATGTGAATAACTCCCTGATTTTTGATAATTTTTCATTATGAGTTTTGAAGTTATTGCGAGGCAAGTTAAACAAACTTTGACTTATAATTTATAATTTCAAAAGAGTGCCAAAAATTTGAATGAAAAAAAAAAGAACAAACTTTGATTTAAAATTTATAATTTCTTAAATTATTTGAGATGAATTAACCGAAAAATCCCTCTACTCTAATTATAAACAATGATTTATATGCAAAATGCAAAAAAAAATGTATTTATTGAGATAATTTTTACACATGAATATTAATATTAGGCGAAGGTCACCATAAAGTTATTTTATAATTATCAACATTAACGCATATCTAAGGAAAATATAAAGAAGAAAAATCAGTAAAAGATCAAGTGACACCGACCAAGCATAGAAAAATGACGAGAAAAAACTCAACGATATCAAATAGACAAACGGAGACCGCAGTAACTGTAAAACCAATTTTCATTGGCTGAATTCCAAAAGCGAATGAAACCAATATATGCTCAGATCACATTTTGTGAATTCAAGCAAAGAGAGACTGAAAAACACATCCGGATGTGATGATTTCTGGTTGAGCCGTCTGGAAAAGAGGGATGTATCTTTTTTTTTTTTTTTTAGAGAACAAAAACGATTTTTTGTCGAAATAGTAAATTAGTTATTACTTTATATTGAAATTTAAATGTGGCGTTCGTTCTTGTTCATTGAATTCTCAAGAACTTGAATGATCATATTCGAACTGGAATTATATATTTAGGGCTATATTAATCTCATTTCCCTTCACCTTTTTTAAATAACAGCGCTGACTGAAATAGATAAAGAATAAACCTCAAGCGAGCTTCGAAATCACTTTAATTTTATATCTACAGGCCTGCTATATATAACAGCAGCTCTACTAATTATACTACCAGTACTTTTACAACTGAACAAAGACCAGGCTTTTTTTTCCATTGATGTCTAAATTACATTTTTTTTATTGTTTTTAATGCACATTATTAGTATAAAACCTACCTTCTTTTATTAGTTCAACCATTATTAATATTTTAATTTCATTTTTTTTCCATTTTAATTTTATTTGCTTTATTAACGGCTGGAAATCATCGACTTCTATATCATTCCAAGTATGTCTATATTTCATTCCAAGTATTTGTCTATATTTCTGAGATGAGGTACTATGTATACTGTTTACATTGCTCGAACTATCATCCTCATCTGTTGCCATATTTATCACAACGTTTCGGCCGTTGTACTCTCCGGCCTTCTTCTATTGGTGGGAATGTCGAACTGAACCCTTTATTTCACTCGCTGGGGTAGACTGATCTAGTTCCACGTGCCATATCTAATGGATGTCAGTTATCAATTATCTCTTGTTAATTCCCCTCTACAAGTTCTCCACCGCCTTAACCAGGTATCGAACTCACACTCTTTGTTCCTGTCACTGGTTCTAACGCCTTTATCCACTGTGCCATGCGTCCTTGAGGACTTCTGTGTAATGTATGAATTTCCGGGTATTATAAACCTAATGTCTTCAGCATCATTTTTTTAGTACTCATATTGCAATTTTTTTTTTTACCAGAGCTCATATTGCAATTTTTGTTGTTGTTATTGCTTTTCTTGGACACTCCTTGTTATTGGTTTCCATATTGTATTCATTTCTATCTTTGGTCGGCTCAGGAGATTTTTATGCCCTAGCTTATGTGCTGCTTCCTTAATCTAGGCCACAAAAATCTCCGAGCAATGCAAATAGTGTATGATTATATTGCTGTTAAGACCAGGAATGCTATGTTCCACAGTGGTTCTATTGTGTGTATCGTTCAAATATTGTTCAGTTTTCAAATTATTCAGATTTCGTCTTGTGATATACTGGAAAACATTTAACAGATCTTCTTTACTGTGCGCACAAACTTGATCTGATGTCCTTGTTCGAATTTGGACACCTCAGCATCAGGTAATGGTTAACGAGCCTAATCCGGTTAAACAATATTGCAAAATATTGAGATCAGTTTTCCTTGGAAGATTCATACACGACCCGACCAAGTAACCCAATATGGGTTAATATATCGTCAAAATCAATAAACTAACCAACCTAGTTTGTACTGGAAATGTTTTGTTTTTTTTCTGGATTTGAAAGACTGAAATTTGTTAAGTCAGCTTTTGGATATGATTTTATACCATTGATCTTCAAAGTTTTCCGACAATTTTCAACATGGGAACCTAAACAGAATCTACTAGTTGAAAAAATGGTTATTGTCGTTGTAGGATGCAAAAGAAGTTCTACATTAGGAAATTGTTTCAAATAGAATTCTATACTATGAAAATAACTCAAAAGAAAATTCGTATTATGAACGGAATTGAAATTCCTAACGATTAGGAATCTAATGGAAATTCTACATTACGAAAGCGTTCAGATGGAATTCTTTTTCACGAAAAGAATTCAAAAGAAATTTGGATTTAGGAATAGGTTTCAAAGAGAAATCTTTACAAAGAATAAGATTGAAGATGGTAATTATGGAAATCTATAGTATGAATAGCATTCGAATAGTACTTTACATTACTATAGAATTTGCAGGACACTCTATATTATTATAAGATTTAAAGAGAATTATATACTGAAGATTAATTCAACATGAAAAGTTATACTATGTAACGCTATATTCATCACTCAAACCTTTCGAAAGAAAAAGATTTTATTTTCTGAGCCAGAATTGGAACTTTGTTTTTGCTGTGTGACAGCGTCCGTTCTCTCGTTGCAAATGCAACGCGGTATTTCTTATCTGCTCTTTGACTCCAGCAGATTAAAAATGTTGAAGATTTTCTCTGGAGAATTAATTGAATCCAAACCAGCATCTAGCATAATGGAATACACACAATAACTGAGAATGGCGTAATGGCATTGATTGTTTGCTTGATTCGTTTTCTACAGTATATCAACCGTTTTTTAGGTTATTTACATCTAGAAAATTATTTTTAGACTGTAACAGTTATTTTTTTTTTGTTGTTGAGATAATAATAATCGAATACAGTGCTGGGTGGAGAAGAGAAAAAAAATCATAATTTCTCTAAGGATATTTTCGAAAAAGCGAATATATTGAACACAATTGAATCTCGAACTCGGCTCTTCGGTTAACAATTCCGAACAATTATCCACATACAAAAAACCACACCTCCAACATTGCATCAGCTGATGTTCCCAAGCGGTCACACATCTAAGTAATGACCGGGGTCGATGTTGCTTAACTCCAGTGATCGTATGGCAACTGGTGTTTCAAAGCCTCAAAGCTCTAATTATGAACGGCAAGCGGAAAATGAAATTTTCAAACGAAATCAAGAAAATGAAAACGTTAAACAAAATGGTCACAAGATCTAAAAAAAAAATGGTGGCAGTTTAATCAGCGACAAAATTCACTCAATTTATCCACGTAATAATAATTTGTTTGTGCGGAACAGATTCACCAGTGTGTGGAAAATAAAAGTTACCAGAAATTAACACACCTCATTGGGGGTGGAAATACCGCTGTTACTTGCTCGGGAGATTTGACTGAATCTTCGTGTTTTTTCTCTCTTGGTTAAATATGATTGGGCTCATATGGGGCTCTGTTAAGAGACGAAGCGGCTACTTTTGTTAACTACACATCTATTTTCCTTCCTCGCAGAGAGTATTTTTTACGCAGCTCTACTATTGTTACCTGGGCATTCTATACGCTTTTCTTGTTTTTAAAGATAGATTTAGACCTGTCCCTTTCGAAAATTAGCTGAAATTTTGACAGGTGCAGTATCGGGCAAAATATTCCCATCCATTTATTGAAGCTCAATGCCACCAAGGGGACAAACATGTACAACATTCTCAACTACTATTTGCATGCTGTATGTGAAGGAATGAAAAAACGTATTCGCCTTCGCTTCCACTCATTTAGGTAATCGCTCGTCTGAAAAGATTACTGGCAATCTGAAAGCAAAACAACAAAACATACTTAACTTCGGTGTTTCTACGTGATACGGATGTAAGCCCGACGTAATTTTAGAGAAAACGTGAGGAATTTATTGATGACTAATGGTACAATAAACTTAAATGAATGAGTGATTTTGTCAAAAATAAATACTGGGAACTTGCATAAACCTAAAAATGCCAAGAGGAATATACTGATTGTGTTGGGCTTGTCGTTGAGCAGTGGGAGGTTGGCCAAGTAAATTCCATTCTCTCCGGGTTCTTAGTTATTCATGGTTCCTCTTATTCCCCGTAAGGCTAAATAAATATTTATTTTTGTTCCAATATTTCTTTGGGTGTTTGTGATAAACCGCCACTGTAAACACGAAAAATATAGAAACTGAAGAAAAGAGAAAACGAAAAATAATGGCATTTTTTTTTCTTTTCTTTAAATTATCCAGTATCTCCCAGTCGGGAGTTTTATTTGATGTTTCTAATGTTGAATTTTGTTTTTATGGTACTATTTCTGTCATTTTTTTTTTGTTGTTGTTTTTTTTTTTTTTGAAGGTCCATTTTAAAATATTCATCTAAAATCGAACGGAGGGATAAAGAAAAACGTGAAAAGAATGACACAGGAGAAGTAGAAGTTGGTACTCCGTCGTTTAACATTTCAAATTCGAGATTGAAAGGCAGAGAGACATTCTTAGCCAGATATAAAGAGGGAGGGAGAGATTGATAGAGAGAGGAGAGATCCCGGAGAAAAGAGAATAGAGGAAACTGAAAGAGCGTGGGTGAGTTTGCTTGAAAAAATGAAAATAAAAGAGGTAGTCGGAAAATAGAAAAAGAAACAGAGAGAGAGAAGATGCACAAGATAAAAGGAAAGAGAAAAATATCAATGAATTTAAATGGAGACAAGTGAGTTAGATGAAATATAGAGAAAATGAAAGATTAGATTGCGTAATTTAAAAACATGCCGAATAATACTGTGTTATTTAATTTCGCATACAACCTTCATAAGACAACGAAACACATTGAATTAATAGATAGCGAGATATACATCCGTTTTATATAGAAATCAAAGCTAGGATATGGGGCCAATTATACACTATACTTAAAAATGTAGAAATTGCAAGTATTTATACGAAGGTTTGTGAATGTGTCCCCTAAAAGATGGAGCTTTGTTTTGGAATAGTTTTACCCCAATGCCGGGGATTCGGTCGACGTAATCTAAGTTCCATCAAGAGTGCAGGAATATGAAAGGATAGGACGATAAAGATAAGCTTCAACAGAGGAAGAAAAAGTGTTATTGACAAATATGAGAGGGTCTGAAAATGGAGAATCAAGAGATTACAGATAAGCTAAAATGGAGACCAAAAAAGACGACAATTTTGTAATTCTGAAAAATTGACAGAATTAAAGAAGGGATATTTGATGCATAAGCCTCGTATACATTTTTTTTTAAATCATTTCTCCCCAAGCAAGAAGGATGTTCACTAGTGCTCAGTGGGGGTTATAGGAAGTGAAAGAGAAGACTGGGAATAGGGAAGATTGAGGAAAGGACAAAATATGGACGGGGTTCAAAAAGACAGAAGATGGCGATTGACGTTGCATTTAAATTTTTGATGATTCTAATTATCGAGGAAGAAATTAAATAGAATATCCAATGTCGGGAACTGAGGGAAAAGAAACTGTTGGAGTAGAAGAGGCGTTTGCATTTAGTAAACAGTAAAACGATTGACCTAGATGCCAATCTAGTGGGACGCTTGAATTCATGTATGCTCTCCAGTTACCATGAAAAAATTTGTAGAAAAGACAGAATGAAGCCACACCACGTGGGTGAGAAAGAAACTGAAGTGAAGATGCCAGGTAAGGATCGGTTATATTAAATATCCTACTTTGGATTTTGTCAATAATCTCGAGATGTACAGCACGGGCAACGGACCAGATATGGCAACAGTAATCAATGTACAGACGAATGCTAGATTTGTAAATGTGCAAGATGGATTTTGACGAGAAAAATCTTCTGGCACGACACAGTGACCCAAATTTTATTGCAGGAGATGCAGCTATTGATTTAATGTAGTCGCTCCACTGCAAAGCCAGTTGAAAACGTGAGGACATGAAGGCGCAGTGTGTTGCTCTCCTGGAGTTTAGCATCAGCGATACTAATGGCAGGCAGAAAAGTCTCTCTACTATAGTTAAATGAAAGCAGAAAATACAATACTTACAAGCCAAATATCCTGCTCCAGCTAAGTCACCGATTGGAGTTGCTTAAAAGCAAGAGCTCCAGACCAGATATGGCAACAGTATTCAATGTACTGGCAAATAGTAGATTTTTAAATATGCAAGATCGATTCTGGCGAGAAATATTTTCCGTTTATCAGACTCGGTGTCATGCCAGAAATATTGGGTTTTATATATTTCATATATTTGTAACCGATATTCTGCTTTGTACATTTTCTCCTTACCGTTTTTTTTTAATTTCAAATAAAGATAAATTTTCTGTTTCTGCAGTCAATAAAAATGACTCAATAGAGGCCTGAAAAAAAATTCCTCTACGAGTTTAACCATTAATCTTTATTTTCTTCTCGGTATTTTCTTTTCCGGATTAATTTTTTTTTTCTCCTTTACTTTGTATTGACCCTTCTATTCACTTTATATCTTTTTTGTTATTTTAAACAGGGATTTATTTACCCACTTCCGAGCTTCACTCTCCCAACACAGCGGGAAATATTGATTTGCAAAATAAAAATAAAAAAAGCCTTTCACTTTTTTATCGACGATAAAAAAAAAATTTCAAGTAAATAAATTACCATTTCAGCAGTCGATTCTATAAACGGTCCTTTACTGTGAAAGCTGGCAGTCGATATATCAATAAGAAGAAATTTACAGATTCCGAATTCTTTTCTTTATACTTACACGACGAGCATCGTTAATTGATGTCACAATAGAGATCGGCAATATCCTCAATTGATGATTCAAACGGGCATAATACATTCATGTTTCGGGTTTAATTGACTAATTGGCAACTCGGGGATTCATTAGTATACATTATTTCCTCGGGTATTTGCCTTCAAATAAATCTGAAAAAACAAACAAAATACAATGCTCTGTCAGCATGCATATTTCCTAAAGACATAAAACGGTGAGATCTGGTTGTAAAGAAGGAGTAGAATACTGTATAAATACTAAATTTAAGAAGCTAATATTTATTTTATTTCCATTCTTTTTTAATTTCTATAATCTAAAAGTTTCAAATTATTATATTTCATGATTTTTGTACGTAATTAAAACTGAAACAATCATGAAATATACGTTTATAAAAATGAATATTCTCGTTGTTTAGCCTGCAAGTTCATGCAAACTTTTTTTGAGATTTAAAGTTTAAGATCTCTCTTTATTACAGATTTGATAAACAATGACCTCGCAACAAGTAAGACGTCTCTAGTACGCAGAGGGTTACAGGGAGTTAAAGTGAAAAATGAAGACTGAGAATAGGGAGGACTGAGGAAAGGCAAAAGATGAACGATATTCAAGAAGACAGACAAAGGCGATTGACGTTGCATTTAAATTTTTGAAGAATGTAGTTATCAGGGAAGCAAGATAACCGAAGAGAGTTCCACAGGCTGGAAGTGCGAGAAAACTGTTGGAGTAGATTTGGGGGTTACATTTAGGTATTTCAACCCTAAATGGGTGGGACCAATGTGCCAATCTAGTAGCGTGCTTAAATTCCTGTAGTTGGAGCACCAAGGCAAAAAAAAAAAAAAAAAGATCGGCAGAGCAGTTGCCTTGAAAATATTTGTAGAAAAGACAGAGGGAAGCCACATTACGTCAGTGAGAAAATGAGTGATGTTGAGATGCCAGGTCAGGATTGATAACATTACAGAGCCTTCTTTGGATTTTCTTTTGTACCTCGAGATGAATAGCAGGATAACAATCTCTTCACAGATGAAGAAGAGACTTGAAGCAACAAAGATGTGATTCTACCAATGAATGCTGAGAATAGAAGAGAAAGAATACATAAGTCATGAGGAAGTCTGAAGACAAATACGAACAAGTGTTGGTCATACCAAGAATAATAAAACACTATTTGGGGATGACTAGTTAGTATTTTCAGGACGATGCTGAAACAATCTTCGTCTTCGTGTTCTAAAACTGTTGGAGTAGGAATGGCGGTTGCATCTAGCTATTTCAACATAAAAATCGGTGGGACCCAAATGCCAAATCTAGTAGCACGCTTGGAGCACCAAGGAAGAATCCTCGTCAGGGTAGTTACTATGAAAATATTTGTAGAAAAGACAGAGGGATTCCACATCACGTCGGTGCGAAAGTGACTGAAGTCGAGATGC